GGCTGACGTACCGCTTTAAAACAGCATTGAACCCCTCGCTGCGCTGCGTAGTCTGCAGAAAGGGGAAGAAGCACTGCATGAAGTAGGCCGGCACCCAGTACATTCGCTTCTCCCACAGGCTAACAAGAGTCTCGTTGTCCTGGACTTGATGTGTTTCAGTCATGGCCATCCAGCTCCTTTCAAACTCCTCCACCGTCAAGCTATGGTCCACGCACAGCTCGAACGCCTTGTGCAGCTCTGGACGGACGGCAAAGAACGGTCCTAGCGTCTCCTCAGCCTTCTTTATAATGTGCCACCTGCAGTGCCTGTGCACTGCCAACGGAAAGACCTCCTCTATGCATGCACGCATGCTGAAATCTTGGTCCGTTATTATGTTCATCGGAGCAAGTCCATCCATGCACTCCAAGAAGGTCTTGAACAGCCAAACGTACCCATCTGTGTCTTTGTTCCGGACGAGGCCGCATCCGAACTGCAACGACTGATTGTGGTTATTTATTCCTATGAGCGGAGCGCATGGCATCTTGTACATATTGGTGAGGTACGTCGCGTCGAATGAAATGCAATCTCGGAAATGTTTGTAGGCTCTCCTTGCAGCACCATCCACCCAATACATGTTCCTGACACGGTCCTCATCGTCCAACCTTATCCTGTAGAAGAAATCTGGATCTTCCTTTGCTTTCGCATCGAAGTAGGCTATTGTGGCCTCTATGTCTGCCAACTTGCTCTCTCTACGGTACTTGGCCTGTAGGTTTGTGACGTCAGCTGGTATGTACGGCATGCTACTCAGAGTCCCCTTTTTGCCGTGGATGAGAGATAGTATCTGTACCATTCTTGATGGACCGACGTTACAATCATGTAGTAGCTTTACGAATTTCCTTTCGACGGGGGTGAACCCTTTGTGGGCGGTCAGAAATTTCACCAGGTCGAACTTCTTTATGAGTTTGTGGTTGTGCTCGTCAAAATACTCATTGACCACCCATGTTGCTCCATCTACGTTTAGCTTACACCGGACAGGGCACCCCGTCTTGAGAATGATGCCTCTCTTTCATTCCGGAACGACAGGCGCAACACCTTTCCCCTTCTTGTTCCTCCGTGCCTTGTGGCACCTCATCTCACCTCTGCTGTACTCATTAGTTTTCTTAATTTTCCTATGGTACTCGGTGTTGACCGCAAATCCATGGAACTTTGCGTATGCCTGGTAGTATTCCTTTGCTTCTGCGAACGATCCAAATCTCTGCCCAATGTATGGTGGCTGAGGTACCACGATCTCGGATTGCCCACCATCTTCATCCTCTTGTGCGTCGTCGTCAGTTTCATCATTCGCTTCAGTATCGGCGGCAGTTCCATCTACTCGAGTGTTGCTAGTGCTTGTGTTCAAAGGGGTGCTCGTCGGCATTGCTGGAATGATTGCCATTCCCGACTCTGACTCAAAATTGTTTGCAGCATGACAGTCTGCTGGCTGGTGGAACGCGTCTTCCGTGCGCTCAGAGCTCCCCGCAGTAGATGTCCCCGCACCGCTGTTCACTGTAGTTGTAGGTTCTGTAATAGAAAAAACAAGCACGAGAGTAAGATTTTTTGGTTGAATAAGATGTGTATCACAACGGATCACACCATCTTCGATTGATTTGGCACGACATATTTTCAAACAGCAAGCCGTGAGACTGCGTGTGGACTTGTGTGGCAGCTGTAGCTGTCCAGTCATGGCAGGTACTGTTCAACAAACATGGCAACTATTGTTTTGCCTACAAAAAACTACAAACAACAAATGTAGTGATGTTTTTTGTGGTTCAATTTTTTTCCTTACCTTGTTGTGCTGCATTTGGCCATCTTGTGTGGTCTGTGACACCAAAATGTCGTGCTCCACCTGCAATTTGTGAAGCTTGCCACGGGACGTTTGCCGTGTCACCACCAGCGTAATACGCTGTAAGCATAGTAGTGGTTGGTCAATTCATGGCAATTTGCAGTTTGTGCTAGCACGGCAACTGTAGTCGCCCCTGATGTGGCAACTGCAGTTTTACTGGCATGGCAACTATAGTTGCATCGGCATGGCAACCGCAGTTGTTCCTCCATGGCAACTGCAGTTGCGATGACATGGCAACTGTAGTTGCTCTGGCATGGCAACTGCAGTTGTTTCTCCATGGCAACTGCAAGTGTCCACTGATGGCAACAACAGTTGTCCAGGGATGGCAAATGTAGTTTTAAATTCATGGCAATTGTAGAAGTCCAGTCATGGCAATTTGGAGCTGCCAACTATGCCCCTTCTGCTAATTGAACATCCGCAACTTCACTTTTTTTATGGACTGACCTGTGTATGACGTCGATGGCAGGTACATGGGCGCTGGCTGATGCCACGTGCTGCATGAAGGCCCTGCATTTTCACCCGTGATAACTCGTGAGTCCTCTTGCCAGTTTTTTTGCATGTCCATTTTTCACGTCCACAGTAGTATGTGTTTTTTTTTGGTTTTGCATTACCTTGATTAGCCATACTAGCTAGTTGAGGTTGGTTGCCCGTAAATATGTCAGTGTTAGCGCCTTGTGACTGAACTTGCCATGGGGCCCCCCTGAGAGTGTTTTGGTCATAAGAACCTGCAAAAAAATGGGAGTGTAGGACATAAGTAGAATGTCATCTTCATCGTTGCGAAGTTGGCAACTGCTCTCTTCTTTTTGTTACCACGCATCATACCTACGCCTGCATACTGTTCTAGTAGTGGCAGCAACGACCCTGCAGAGATGAGTTGACTATACTCTGCTGCATCCAAAGGCGGTGTTTCTGGCCTTTGAGAACCCCAAGCATCAGCGCCACCTTCGCGATTCATCCTTTCCGCGTCTCGATTCTTTTCCGACATGTTCTCAATCACTGGATGATCAAAAAGGCATCAATAATCCACAAGAATTGTATTCTTCTGCTGCTTGCACATGGAAGATAGGGATGGCAAGCAACAGGTCAAAATAGGTGGCAATTGTCATCATACACAAGCGGCAACTGTCGTTACACACAAGTGGCAATTATTTTTTCCCACCCTCTTCATTCAAAAAATCGTCCTTCCTGCCCTTTTTTAGGGATTCCTACTCATCCATTTCATACCCAACTACTTAAGTGCCTAAACTAGGCACCTAAGTTAACCTCAAACGTAGTACATGGCAGATCTGGTGTATTCTGCCTGGCAATTGCGAATATACACCGAACCATGCAGTGTTCTACCCCTATAGTATGGACCCAGTACAAGATCGGGAGATTTTCAGCCTTAAGGATGAGAGGGGAGGACGAGATCGAGAATTTTCACCTGGTTTTAGTTGTTCGTGTCTAGAGGGCTGGATTGGAGTGGGCGGCTGGGGATGGGAAGGGTTAGGGTGTGGTTTGGGGTCGGAGCGCCCTACGGATCTGCCCTGGTTGCCATGGCAACCAGGGATGGCCGGCGACGGATGTCGGGGTTCGAGAGGTGGGGGACGATGGTGGCGTACGAGAGAGGGGATGGATCGGAGGCGTGGATCGGCTGGGTCGTGCGGGCAGCCGGTCTTCTGGCCCGGACGTGGCAGTGCGGGCGGGGTTGCCACACACCGGACGTGCGGGCCGTGCTTTTGTGCGCTCGGACGTGGTCGTGCGGGCCGATCCCCGTCTATGCCGCACGAGGCGTGCGGGCGGGTTCCTATCGACGCCACACGTGTGGCAATTATTCGGACCCTTTTTTCATAGGGTCCTCGCCCATACGTGTGGCATATTAGACATTCGTCAACACATCGTGTGTGGCGTGAGCAGGAGGCAGCCCACACGGTCTGTGTGTGGGTGAACATTAGAATTGCCCACACGTGTGGGCGCAGCTACTTCGTGCCACACGCCCAACAAGTACTACTCATCCCCATCCCGCGCGTGTGGCACGAAGCAAATCTGCCCACACGTCCTGGCGCAGCTACGTTAGGTACCCGCTGGATGACGATTTAGTTGCCATCAGGGATGGCAGATGTAATTATCTGAGATGACAAATGTAGCTGTAAAATCATGAAAACTCCCTCTGTTTTGGTTAACTATGTCTAATTTATGGTAGTTCCCGCGTGTAATCAAACCATAGTTGCCATGTATGTTTACCTGGTTGCCACGTGTGGTCCAACCATAATTGTCATGTATCAGTAATCACAGTTGTCATGTGTGTTTATCTGGTTGCCACGTACGCGCATCTGCAGTAGTCATCTAGCAACAAATCATAGTTACCATGTGTTTACCTAGTTGCCATGTATGCGCACCTGCAGTTGCCATCCAACAACGTACGAGTGTCATGTGTGCGAAAAGTTGTTCGCACACACGCGCGTGAACTAGGTGGTGGTTATGTGGACAGAAACTAGTTCGCCCACACAGCACAGCTGACAAACCACGTGCTGCGGGGCATATGGGCGAACTCTCTAACGCCCACACACACGATAATGATCACGTGGCGCTCAAATTCTAACAGATTCCATTACAATTCATGCAAAACAGAATCAACGTGGATCAAGGTGCAAATATGCCGCACATGTGGACGTTATCATTTGGGTTTTCATAATAGTATCTGCACACCGTGAAGCTAGCAAAGTAGGACTTTACGTGTCACAGTTCTCCCATAAAGCAGAAAACTTGCGGCTCAGAGATCCCAGGATAAGGTAGCTCTATGGAACAAGCAACGGATTATCCACTCATCAGCACTGATGCAATGAGCAGGAGCAGGGGCATTCAACTATGAATCTGGCGTACGAGTTGCAAAATACGCTTTAGGTATAATATAATATAATATATATGCCTAACTTGAATACGGTACCGTCAGAATCGGCACTCGGTTGATTCAGGTCATTCCTCCGGTGAATAAGTTCGAGTTCCAACAATTACTGAAAGTCGCTACTATCTACAAAACCTTCCCTGCACTTAGGAAAGCAAACTACTACCACCACCTTGTTACCTATTTCTAGTTACGGAGCCTGCAGCTATCACCCCCATTACCAGGCAAATTATCTCCTACCCGCGCACGCAGTCTTCAGGCTGCGGGCAGGTTCTTCTTCACCTTGTCTTCCAGGAACTTCCTAGTGTCAGCGCCCTTCACGTTGAACTCCATCAGAAGATCTTCGAACAGCGTCTTGAGGTTGTCAGTGAACTGAGTGCGCCTACCCAGAGGATCCACCCTCAACACTTCTTGCTTCTTTGGTACACTGCTGCTGCTGCTGCTGCTGCTAGATGCTCCAGTGCCGTCGTATTCCGCTTCTTCCTCTTCGGGGACCTCCGATCCAACCATGTTACCCTCTAGGTAGTGTTTGCATGCTGCCAGAATGGTGCGTCCACGTTCCCGGAAGTGGCCGGCGACAAGGTCTCCAAAGTGCTGCAAGTAGAGCCAACAACAAAGGAAGGTTACTAAACAGCAGTAGATAATAGAGTTCTATGTTACTTAACTGTCTGGTAATTACGAATCAGGGCTGTCATCTTGCAAAATTAAATTAAAACTTAACACATAGGAAGCCCCTTCCCGTTAGTCAGGATCAGAATGATCTCTTTCTATAGTAACAGAACCAGGATAAAATACTATTAAACCAGAATCAGGATAGAATAATATTGAATACTCAGCAGACCTGCACGTTCTTTCCCTTGGCTATAAATCTATAATATGTTTGGTCTGTCCAAAAAAGAAGCTGCGGCATGTCACATCCTACATTCCTATCTTCTAGTACTTAACATTTTGTTCTGTAGATAGATGGCCGTCTTTGCATACCAAAAATTTTCTAAGACTCCATTTATTCAGTCAAGTATGCATACTACTCCCTCCGTTCCGATTTACTCGTCGTGGTTTTAGTTCAATTGAACTAAAACCACGACGAGTAAATCGGAACGGAGGGAGTAGGTATCAAGCTGCCCTTGCCGACTAAGAATACGAAGAAATGAGTAACCAGGCATTGCATTACTCAGGTCATCATGTACAAGGCTGGCTGCTTATTTAGGCCTAAACTGGAACAAGCCCAAAGGCCCACTACAAGGTGGGGCTGACCAAGCGCATACCGGTCACTGTGTTTTAGAACATTGATGATGAAACAAACCTTCATATAGCATATTCAAGCATATAACAGCAGCAAATGCAGTAAACCACAGGAAGATTCAGAAATTTGAGGACATAAAAGGGCTAATCTCTAATAGTCTAGCATGTCACGAGTAAGTTTCTTATTTCAGCATGCATAAAAGGACAGGAGAGAGACTATTATTTTGTGTTTGCCCATTAACCGCCAGAACTGTAGGTACATATAGCAAAACATTACCTCCGGAGGCCTTCTAAGTGAATACAGCATAGTCCTACAGGAGTGCAGAAATGTGGTCTTGTTATACTCTACAGAATGCTGTTGTCCAGTTGCGGTATTCGCAGAGCCTGCATATCCCGGCTCATTGAAGTATGGCTTCTCATTCAAAATGAGAGCCTGAATGGACACGAGCACCTGCAGCATGGTTGAGTGAGCTGAGTTCCACTTCTCGCAACCACTACCACTCCAGGTACCAAGGAGGCTAAGGCAGACTTTTCCACAATTATACAAGTTCGGGTTAAGTCGAAGCCCTCCAGAATGGTAATACACCAACTGCAGCACCATCAATGTTAAGCATTTTAGTAAACTGACAAAAATAATCACATAAAGAGAAATGCTGGAAGCTTACGTACCGGAGGCTCTGAAGGATAATTAGAGGTAAAATGTGCATCAAAGAAGAATAGACCATCATGATAGGGTGTTCCCTTAGGGCCAATAATCGCAGCCCTCAGAAGATCCATTCTATCTTCAGCAACACGGACAAAGATAGAAGCTACAAAAAAGAGTAGTTTTCACAATTTATACTTCTGATTTGAGAAAGTATACTGAAAAGGTGCAATAAATAAGCCATAGTTTGCTCAACTTCATAATATCAATCCGTTTGCTAGTGCTAAGTCAAATGAGAATTAACTAAATCTCAGTAGAGCAAATTTAGCTGCTGATTAGCTGTAGGATTTGATTATTTATCCAGACCTAAAATTCATTTACGTATTATTTTGGTGTTATTGCCCCACTGTTGGATGAAAGATTCTAGGGCTCACGGCGTTGACTGAGTATTAGAAACCAACTATGCTATTTAAGCCTCACTAGTCATTCAGTACATAGCTATGCAAAACCGATGCCAAACAAATCATTGAATTGTTTTAGCCACACTAGATTAACATTAAGTACAAGTCCATATCTAATAGATTTCAGAATTCACTCCAAAATCTTAAGATTGTACAGAGATATTTAATAAACTTAGAGCATAAAGTAGAATGCTTCCATAAATTGACAGTTCTACGAAGATTATAATCCTAAGTGTGTAAATATATCACAAGAACAATGAATACATCCATTTTTAAGTAGTTTAAATCAGATAAAACGATTAAGAAACCTATAAAATAGAGAAAGCCACATAAAAATTACAATATTATACTTCTATCAAATAATGGGATGATGGTCTTGTGCACCCTGTGCAGACATACTTAAATGTGCAGCACGGAGAATTGAATAGGTCAAAAGATGTACATTAACTCTCCATGCATGCATTATATTAAGAGATAAGCTTGAAAGACTGACATCCTTTATGAGCCTTAAGTAGGCTATAAAGGGGTTATGGTTCGTGTGCCCCAAGAACCTAAATTTCTACCTCGGGCACTCATAAGAACATGACAAAAGATGCGTGCAGGCAGTAGAGCCAATTGTGTTGGCTAGAGAAAATCTAGTTCGCCAGAGTGTTATGGAGGTGCTAGGTTAAACTTTAAGTGGAATATACCTTTGTCCCATTTATTATTGGTAAAACTGAATAGTTAACTTACAGAAAACTAAAGAGAGAAACCGAGTTGTTAACAGCTAACCTGGTAGATCTTTCTCCAAAAGTTTCCAGTCATGTTGAATTCTCTTTGCCCATTCCCTGCTTGTCTGAAATAATATGCATGGAATAAGACGGAAGTATCACAAGCTCCGCAAGAATAAAATAAATTAAGAAGGGATTCGTATACAAAATGAACATAATGTGTGAAATCAATTAATTCAACACATTACCTTCCCCACTGATTTATTAGCATAATGGTGGTCAGAGAAATTTTGAACAGTGTAGAATTGTTGAAATGCCTTATATTTCTTTGTAATTTCATCCTCAACTAACTCATCTGACGCTCCATCCTGCTCGTCATTGGCTGCAAGTTTCTGCAGCCATGGTACAGTAGCCTCGACACCTGGAGGCAGATCTAAATCATCAAATTTATCAGCAAGCTGCTGATTAAAGTCAGCTTCATCGAATTCATATTCAGAGTCATCGCCGTTTTCATCATCACAATCATCATCATCATCATCCATATAGTAATCCTCTTCCTCATTTTCTGCGTAATCAGTATCTGGTAGCTCTGATTCAGACATTTGCACAGAAGCACTTGTGCTGGATCCAACTTGGTCGCTGGAAGAACCCTGTTAGATAGTGACATGTCAGTAGAAAACAGAAGTGATTATGCTGTTGTATGGTGAAACTAAAACTAGCAGAGTACTTCATTCTGCAATTAACTCTGTGATGTCTAATTAGTATTGTTTGTGACATAATTAAACGGATATCACATCCTCATGATCTGTACCATACAGATAAGATAAGAAATAACAGAAAAGCCGATCAGAATAACAGAAACACACAAAGATCAGAACTTATGGCATGCAGATGGCACCGACACCCCTAAAATCTTCAATCGGATCGAATTGGTCGTAGACCTCAAGCCAATTATGACCGGCATTGCATCAATCGACCTTACAAAGGGAAGGCGCCGCAAGATCGCATCCACAAACCCCTCAAATCCCGGACAAAATTAAGAAATTAACCCCAATAAAGACCTATAAACCCTCCTAAATTTCCGCCAAAACTCGAAACCCTAGCGTCGAGATCGCGGCTTCTCACCGCATAAAAACCCCAATTCCGACTGAACAAAACCCTAAACGCGACACCTCGGGCGCAACGTAGGGACTTGGCACGCGAAAATTCCAAGGCCGCGCACGGCGTCCGGTGCGGAGAAAACCCAAAATCAACTGGGGAACGCGGAACGAACGGAACCGGAGGAACCGTGCGAAATTACCTCGCATCGCTGGCGCTTCTGCTGCGATGAACTCCAAGCCGCGGCGCCCGTCGCCCAGCACGACGAGCCGCCCTGCTGCGGCCCGCGGCACCTGCACGGGAACAATACCCTTAAGCCGATCACCCAACGACGAAAAGATTAACAAACCACCAAAAGTTGAGGCGCCGTCCGATCGCGTCGGCGGGGACGGGGAGGAGGTGCCGTACTCTGTGTCCATGGCCGCCGGCGCAGGCCAGGCCGGGGGCGCCGCGAGAGGCGTAGGAGGCGGGGTGGGGTGGGAGCTCGGGCGGAGTGCGCGGGTGCGACGGAGGGGAGGGGAGGGGAGGAGAGGCGAGACTGCGAGAGGGGAAGGGGAACGCGTGGCCGTACCGATCTATTTGGCCCGGGGGGTTGGCAGAGTCCCGGGACCCACCGCGCTGGCGCTCCTAGGCGCACCGCACTCGCTCGGTGTAGCCAGGGGCCACGGTGGAGGGAACACCGTTCCAGGCCCACGTGTCAGCGGGTCGGGTTGAGTCCTCGCGTGAGAGGAGGAAGGTTAGGTTCCGCGACGGCGACGCGCTTGCGCACGAGTCAGGGTTGGTATTGACGGTGGACCCGGTATGTCAGGGTGGAGGAGCTGGACGGGGTCGGCGGCTACCGGTTTGGCCTATGTTTATGGGTTCTGGAAAGGCTGAAAAACCGGAGCGTTAGGTTTGATTTCATAAGTTGATGTTTACTAAGGGCAATACTGTCTTATCTTAAGTTCGGCACAGAGTAATTTAGAAAAGACAATAAAAAATAATGTACTATGATAGTTATCTCTTTGTCTTACCTTTTATAACCAAGAGCAACTCCAATGGGCGACTCAAATGGACGGCGATCTCGTCCGCTTTTTGTCCGTTTGGGTCGGCCGCCAACCCGACGTCCGCCCTGTTTTAGATATCGGTCGGCAGGGCGCCCAACGCGCCGACCTACATGTGCGGGCGTGGCTGCATGGCCCTTCTATTTTTTCATGATTGTATAGTTCAAAATAAAATCGTTTTGGACCTAATAAAATAGCATAGTTTATTACAAGCCAAATGAAAATAAAAATGTCTCACATAGTTTTGCAAACGAATAAAAGAAGATACATCTATTGGCTGCCAACATGAACCCACATATGCTCAACCAAATCATTTTGCAGTTGCACGTGAGTTTCCCAATCACGCATGTCTTTATGAAATTGGGTGAACTGTTCAAACATTGCCGCTGCTCCATGCTCAGGCACAACATTCTCACCCTGAAACTGAAACCCTTGATCATACAAACGTTCCGAGTGCTCGTCTTCTACGACCATATTATGCATGATCACACAAGCAGTCATCACCTCCCACAGTTTCTGCATGCTCCAGGTATTAGCAGGATACCGAACGATGCCCCATCAAGATCGCAAAACACCAAAGGCACGCTCGACATCCTTCCTAGCACTCTCTTGCTCTTGGGCAAATCTTTTCCTTTTCTCTCCGACAGGGTTTGGTATTGTCTTCAAAATAGTGGTCCACTGAGGATAGATATTGTCACCCAGATAGTATCCTTTGTCGTAGGTGTGGCCGTTGACAGTAAAGTTCACCGGTGGACTGTTGCCTTCGGCAAGCCTAACAAACACCGGCGAGCGCTGAAGCACGTTGATATTATTGTGTGATCCGGCCATGCCAAAGAAAGAGTGACAGATCCAGAGATCTTGAGACGCTACGACCTCAAGTATGACAGTGCACTCAGGGCCAAACACAGCAATAACAGCCTTGCAGAACTTATACAGGGACTCTAGGCAAGTAGACTCGCTCATACGGACGTACTCGTCAATGAGATCACCGGGCACTTCATATGCAAGCATTCAGATGGCGGCAGTGCATCTCTGATAAGAGGAAAAACCAATCTTGCCAACGGCATCCTCTTTGGACTCGAAATAGTCATCATAGCCGACCACCCCCTCTCTAATACGGTTGAAAAGATGCCTACTCATACGGAAATGGTGGCGGAATTTCTGGTGTTTGAACAACGGGTTTGTTGTATCAAAGTAGTCCTTCCAAAGAAGGAAATGTCCACTCTCTCGGTTGCGATTCAACGCCGGAAGGTGGACCGGAATGGAGCCACGGAACAATGGCCGCTGGCTGTTGAGGTGGTGATGGACCAACACGGCAGCCAATATCTCCTCCTCGTCATCGGAGGACGAATCGTTGGAGTCGCAAAGGAAATTGTGAAAAAAGAACTCGTCGGCGGAGTCCATTTTGTACCTTGGCAAACTGTCGAATAGCTTGCGGGCATCGGCGAAGGAGACGGCCGACGAAGGGAGTCGCGGCACGCATGGACCAGCTAGCTGTCCTGCCAGCACCCGACGAGCGTGCCGGCGTCTGACGAGCGTGCCGGTGAGGATCTGGCCAGGCGGCGAGGTGGCTTCTTTGTCGAGGGTGACTGTGTGGTAGGGGGCACCGGGGGTGGGAAGCAGTCGGCTCCCAGCGGTAAGACGGTGGTGGCGGGCGACGTGGGATGGGCGGTGAGGGAGTCCTGGACTAGGGGGTGTCCGGATAGCCGAACTATCGTCATCGGCCGGACTCCAAGATTATGAAGATACAAGATTGAAGACTTCGTCCCGTGTCCGGATGAGACTTTCCTTGGCGTGGAAGGCAAGCTTGGCAATACAGATATATAGATCTCCTGCCATTGTAACCGACTCTGTGTAACCCTAGCCCTCTCCGGTGTCTATATAAACCGGAGGGTTTTAGTCCGTAGGACAACAATCACGAACAACAATCATACCATAGGCTAGCTTCTAGGGTTTAGCCTCCTTGATCTCGTGGTAGATCATCTCTTGTACTACCCATATCATCAATATCAATCAAGCAGGAGTAGCGTTTTACCTCCATCGAGAGGGCCCGAACCTGGGTAAAAACATTGTGTCCCTTGTCTCTTGTTACCATCTGCCTAGACGCACAGTTCGGGACCCCCTACCCGAGATCCGTCGGTTTTGACACCGACATTGGTGCTTTCATTGAGAGTTCCTCTGTGTCGTCACTGATAGGCTTGATGGCTCCTTCAATCATCAACAACGACGCAGTCCAGGGTGACACTTTTCTCCCCGGACAGATCTTCGTATTCGGCGGCTACACACCGCGGGCCAATTCGCTTGGCCATCTGGAGAAGATCGAAAGCTACGCCCCTGGCCATCAGGTCAGATTTGGAAGTCTAAACTTCACGGCTGACATCCGCGGAGACTTGATCTTCGATGGATTCAAGCCAAAGCCGAGCGTGCCGCACTGTCACGATGGCATGATTTAGCTCTGCTGCCAGACAGTGCCCTGGAGGCCGCGCACGAGTCCGCTCCAATCCTTAATTCGGAGCGTACCACGCAGGTCGAGGATGGGTGGCTAGACACCGCCTCGGGGGCTGCAACCTCTACGGCGATGGAGCCGAATACTGACCTTGTCCCTTACGAAGCCCGTGACTCCGAGGTGCCGGACTCCTTGCCGGACTCCGAACCCCTCGCGCCCCTACCAATCGAACCCGGTTGGGCGCCGATCATGGAGTTCACCGCTGTGGACATCTTTCAACACTCACCTTTTGGCGACATCCTGAATTCGCTAAAGTATCTCTCGTTATCAGGAGAGCCCTGGCCGGACTACGGTCAGGACGGTTGGGATGCGGACGACGAAGAAATTCAAAGACCACCCACCACCCACTTTGTAGCCACTGTCGACGATCTAACCGACATGCTAGACTACGACTCCGAAGACATTGACGGTATGGACGACGATGCCGGAGACGACCAAGAACCAGCGCCTACTGGGCACTGGAAAGCCACCCCAACTCATGACATATACATGGTGGATACACCAAAAGGAAGCGATAACGAGGAACAACGGGACGCGACGAAGGATAATTCCCTTGAAAACAACCAAAACGGCGACGCAAGCGCCGCCCGAAGTCCCGCCTCGATAACAACAGCACCCATACTGACCCAGCCGTAGAGCAAGGCAAACCAGTGGACGACGAACATGCAACCAAGCAACCATCCGAAAAGGATGAACCGGACAAGCAACCCATCCCCGGCGAAAACAACAACCCAGACGGTCTCACGCCGGACACATCACCGGAGCACAAGAACCTTCACAAAAGGCTTGTCGCCACTGCAAGAAGTTTGAAGAAGCAGAAGCGGAAGCTCAGAACAGTGGAAGATGTACTCAGAATGAGATGGAGCAAAGTACTCAAGACCGCAGATAAATACGGCGATAGTCACCAAGCAAAGAGCTACCCGAAGCGCAAACTGTTGCCCGAATTCGACGAGGAGGCCGCAGAGCCCCCACAGTCGAAAAACAAAGAGGACGCCTGGCCGGATAGACGACCAGATGACAGGCTAAGAGTGGCAAGCGGCGCCGCACACAAGCCGGCACACGATCCACATAAGGATCCTCGCAGAAAGGATGGCCCGGTCAGGTCCATCTATGGGCCAAAATAGGCTCCAGGAAGCAACACAACACGCCGAGTGTTCGAAGATAACGGCACACCTGAATACAGGGGCGCCGCACACCCACTATGCTTCACCGATGAGGTGCTGGATCATGAATTTCCAGCGGGATTCAAGCCCGTAAACATAGAGGCATACGATGGAACAACAGACCCCGGAGTCTGGATTGAGGATTACATCCTACACATACATATGGCTAGAGGAGATGATCTCCATGCCATAAAATACCTACCCCTCAAGCTCAAAGGGCCAGCTCGGCACTGGCTCAAAAGCCTCCCAGAAAATACCATTGGAAGTTGGGAAGAGCTCGAGGATGCATTTTGAGCAAATTTTCAGGGGACTTATGTCCGCCCTCCGGATGCAGACGATTTAAGTCACATAACTCAACAGCCCGGAGAGTCAGCACGCAAATTCTGGAACAGGTTCCTCACCAAAAAGAACCAAATAGTCGACTTTCCGGACGCCAAAGCCTTAGCAACTTTTAAACATAACGTCCGAGACGAATGGCTCGCCAGACACCTCGGCCAGGAAAAACCAAGAACAATGGCCGCGCTAACGAGTCTCATGACCCGCTTTTGCGCGGGAGAAGATAGCTGGATGGCAAGATGCAGCACCAGCGACCCAAGTACATCCGAGGTCAGAGATGGAAATGGGAAATCACGACGCAGAAAAGATCAGCGCCAGAATAAAGAAAATGACCCAAAGAACACGGCGGTCAACGCCAGATTAAAAAGCTC